AAAATAAAACGCTAATTCACCACAACATACCAAAACACTTACTTTTACACTGGACGCGCGTTTCGCTAACCATGTTAGCATCATTAGTATATGATTAAAACTACAAAAAGTGAAGTTGGACTACTTTTCTTTGAATATGGTATTCGATTCAGTCTTTATTTATTTTAACCCACACAATGTTTTGGTCCATGTACTTAAAGGATTTTCTTAAAGGATTCTTTGATACGCAATTTGACCCACTATGTATTATTTATTAATGGGGTGAGAGGTGACAGTCTAATTTGAAACACCTATTACTATTCATATAAATTCAGTTCTAACGATTACTAATAGACTGCAATAGTTTTGGAAAAAGTATACCTATAATAATTATGAGATGAAGGTCAATATTAGAAAAACTAAATCCATGAGAGTCTATACCAATAATGTTGTTCCCTTTATCATTGAAGAGACACCTTTATAGAGGAGATAAGAATTTTTAAAATCTCAACCAACAGAGGCACAGAGCAAAATATCATAAACAGAATAAACGAAGCCAGAATAACATTTGTAATGCTCAACAATTATTTGGAGATCTAGACAGTACTTTCAATTTACCAAACGTAAAACTTTTGAAATTCAAGCCAGTATGTATGGCGTAGAGACATGGAAACACCACCGTTGATTACACTGCTATTAATTATCAAATTCCAAGTATTCATAAACCGCTGTAAAAATTATAGGAATATTCTAGCCAAACACTATTAGAAATAAGAATTTATGGAGCTTAACCAATCAGAGACAAGTGTTATAATGAGAACAAACTAAGGAAATAGATGTGGATTGGTTATACATTAAGGCGAAGCGGGAACAACATCACTGGCAAAACTATTGAGTGGAACCCACAAGGCAGTAGAAGAAGTAGTCGTTCTAGACACACGTGGCAAATGATAATTAAAAATAAGATCGAAACAGTAAATACCGTGGCGAGATTAAAATCAATTTCTAACAACCCAACCCGCTGGAGGGCATTTACATAAGCCCCGCATACAGCCACGGCACGTACTATGTACGTACCTGGTACGTAATGTTGGGACGAACGTCAGGTCCCTGGTACGTACTATGTACGTACTAGGGACGTACATTTTCCAACGCTATGTACGTCCCCGGTACGTCCCTGGGATGTGGTAAAGTACGTACTATATCGCATGTACGTACATTCCAGGTACGTACATTTTATGTTTTGTTCCGGACCAAAACTGGACGTAAAATGATCGAAAGTACGTACTATGGGCGTACAATGTACGTACTATGGAAGTCCATTTTTCAACGACGTTTACGACCTAGGAATTTAATTAGAAATAAATCAATGGAAGTCAGCTTAAAATATTTATTAATATAAAAACTGAGGTACAGGGTCACCCCTTATGTCTTGATAAATCCGTGAGTCTGGTTTCGGTCCGGCAACTACACCCTTAGCGCACTCTGTCTTTTATTGGATGTTGATAGATATTTTATTTTTTTTATTCTCGAACTGCTTCTAACTAAAAAATACAAAAAGAAAACTAAGTATTCAAATATCTAGTTCTTGCCTCTGTTTTGAAAAAATTGAATGAGCCGCGTCTCAATCATTCGAGGTTGTGACTGTGCTAAGATGGTGCTAGGTGAAATAGTCACATTATATTATTACACTTTAACTTACCTTGAAATAACGAGCAACGAGGGCAACGACAAAAGAAAACAAGGCGGAATCCAAACAACCTACGACCACCATGACACACAACACAATCGAAAACTGGATCGGAGTAGGTGCGCACTCAGTGTATTGTTGTTTTGATTTTTTGCGTTGATTAATAAAAGATGGAACTACACTGAGTGCCCACGTGCGCATTAGCTCTGCCAATCGAAAACGCCATTAGAAACCGCTCGACTTCCGATTCCGACAAGACTCGAATGTGAACGAATAACTTAGCGGGAAATTTAAACATAGGACTGCATAATTTTCCTGTTAGGCTTGATTGCATAATATATTGCATTTTTAACTCATCAGATTTCTTCAAAGGCTGTCATGCATTATGGTCATTGGATAATTTAGGAAATCATTTTTTATAGCGGTCGGGTTAGATTTATTAATAAAAGAAGTAGAGGCAGGTTGACTTGAATTACCGTTAGCCTAGAAAAGATCCACTGATCCAGTCCATTCATTATTATTGGGTATATCTGACTAAAATAATCCAGTCATGATATTAAAATTAAATAACATTTTGTAATGCGCTTTCAAAAATTTTCAAGATACGTACGTAGTATACGTACTCGCATGTATGTCCGTAGTGAAGTCCTACAATGTACGTAAATAGTACGTACATGGGGTACGTACTATGTACGTACACTTTTGTACGTACATTGTACGTCCCTAATTGGTCCCGGGACGTACCGACTTGTACGTACATTGTACGTCCCTAATTGGTCCCGGGACGTACCGACGTAAAATGGACATAAAATGTACGTCCCTGGGACGAAGTGTGCTGTATGGGCATCTATGCTCCACATAGATGTAAAGGACAAAATGAAAAAAAAAATATGAATCGCATTATTATTTTACAATATTCATATAAAAAAATATCCAACTTAAATTTTATTGTATTTTATACCATAACTACGAAGTCGCGGGTACACGCTACCCCTCCTTATCCCTTCCTTATCGAACCTCTACACCCCACAGTCAATCCATTTGCCAAAAATCAGCTATAAACGTCAAACAGTTTAAGCAGAATCGTGATTACTCAATGGTCATATTTTATGAAACACCCTGTATAAATTTTTAAAAAATCTTAAAATATGTAAAACAACAAAACAAAATATACGTGTTTAAAGATTTTTCTGAAAAACTCACCGGTTTTTAAATAAAAAATATTCTAATATTTGAGGGGTGGTTTCACCCCCTTAGAATTCGAGTTTCGAAAAGTCCCTTCTTATCGAACCTCTACACCCTAAAGTCAATCCGTTTTCCAAAAATCAGCTTTAAGCGGGATCGTGATTAATCAATGACCAAATTTTTCGAAACACCCTGTATACATTTTTAAAAAATCTTAAAATATGTAAAAAAACAAAATAAAATACACGTGTTTAAGCGTTTTTTCGGAAAGTTGGCCGTTTTTTAAATAAAAAATATTGTACTATTTGAGGGGTGGTTTCACCCCCTTGGAACTGGAATTTCGAAAAATCCCTTCTTATCGAACCTCTACACCCTAGAATCAACCTGTATGCCAAAATTGAGCTTCTTACGTTGAGTCGTTTGAGCAGTATCGTGGTTAATCAGTGACTCAGTCAGTTTTCTAGGCGAACTTCTCTTTGCATAAATGTTTTTATAGAATGTATCGATACATGCAAGTTTTATTTTGGGATATGTACATCCCTAGTAGTAGCGAAAATATCTCCATCGCCGCCTCCTCTACAATCGACCCCGTCACAGTCGTTTTACTCCCTTCTCCACCTACCCCTGTGACCTACCCTTCCAGCAACCTATCCCGCGCCCCTGTAACACTTATGGCGCTCTCAATTCAAACATTTTTATCAAGACGTCCTTATTTTTTGCACGTCTAGTCCATATTTAGCGGCAAACATTGGATAGGGGCCGATGAGCCATGAGCCACTTTATTTTTTTTGGAAAAATTTTCATCTTTCATCTTTGATACATTGATTCTGGACAAGTGAGAAAAGTCACCTTTCTATATTATAAACTTGAATAATATTACTGGAAAATATATCACAAAAGTTAGTTAATTTGATTTGTTTTGAGTAGAGTCACAGAATAGTAAACCTGTTAATAACGGCTTACGATAATGACCGAAGGATAATCTGTGACCAGAATTAAATAAAATAACTATTACTGAACTAAATATACAGTTCATACCAAATAAACTTTTAGTCACGTGACTCAGCTTGACCGGCACAGCGTTGCCCACTTTTATATATTTTCTTTTAATCAAAGTTGCAATGGGTTTTTTACAGCTATTAAGCTATCTTGTACCACTTCGCACTAAAAGAGGTTCTAAAAAGAACAATGTTCGACTGCAAGGTCTGCTAGTAAACATTTTTTAAGCTTAAAGTATCACAACAATATTTATTTAAACCAAAAACATAATACAAAACTAAAGTGTCAAAACGAATGACAATGTCAGGAAATAAATAAATAAATGCGGCAACTTGACATTTTTTACAGCAGATCTGCCACCTGACGTGACAGCAATTAATTTAAAAATCGCGCCCTCGATTATGTAACTAAAGGGTGTCCCAGAAATAAGTGCAAGTATAGATCTCGATAAAAGAAACATATTTTCTCTTTGTCGTTTTTCAAACAAGTCCAAAATAACGGAATTATTTTACTTTAAAAATTTCCAAAAAAAAATGATTTTTTGCTAAAATTTTGAGAACCACTGCATCTCTCCTGGATTTTCTTTCTTGTAAAATTTAATCTAATACCTATGTTCCAATATTATCAAGAAATTATGTTTTTAACTAAAAACTAAAATAATTTCCAAAAAAAATTTCGAATTTTCACATTTTTTTTTCGCGAAAAAAACCTCATAGGCGTGTTTCTGGGGTTGAACTATACTACCAGTTAAAATACTTGCACTTATTTCTGGGAGACCCTGTAAGTTTAATTGATATGAAATATATATCAATTTCTTCATTAAATTAAATTGTCGGTCGAGTTTCTAACTTAATTAAAAAAAAGGATTATCAAAATATAGAAAAATATTAGAACTTATAAATATGAATTTGTTTTGAAATAAAATTTTGAATAACATTTATAACTACAATTCGAACCTTCACCATATTGTGAATACGTAGACATAGACAACAATTTTTTTCAAACATCAAAAAAAATGGCAAATCTTTGATGGCACCTGTTTCAATTTGACTCAAGTCTGTAAGGCTACCAGGGGGGAGGTTATGAGGTACCAATGATGACTCTAGGCGTCAGCTACTGTGAGGTAGAGTACAATAAAATTATAAAAAAAGTTAACAATTTTTATATTTCTTTAGAGAGAATATATATCACAGAAACAATATTTTTCTTCTTAAATGTATAGCCCTCATTTTCTACTAAATGCAACTATAAAAGTACAAAACACCAACAAATAAACATGTATGTCTTTTCATAAAATAAAATTAACCATAGCAATTTAAATATGCCATAACAAGATCCACAATGAATATTAACTGAATAATGAGTTTTTCCTAAGTGCAACAGTTTAGGCTCAATAAAGAATTTGCAACAATTCTTTAAAACTATAAACAAATTTATATACGACGTTCTTTATCCTTATCCTCTGTATTACTAGTTTTACTACCTTCTTCATCTATAGATTTTGCAGTTAATTCTGGATAAACTCTGGAAGGACCTGCGTCTAATGACTGCCTTAATGACTGACTACTTGAGTGAGTTGTTGAATATGATTGGACCATTCCTCTCCCTAGAAATTATTATAAAGATATCATGTGGTTTTTATATATCTATAAGAAAATCAAACAACTAGTTTGCACACTAGAGGTGGGCACAGATTGAACGAGTCGTTCATTTGAATGAGCATTAAAAATGAATCGTCAGATTCGATTCATTGCTTGCAGTTCGTTCAATTGAATCGTAGCCAGCACAGATCCATAAAAACTGAACGATGAGCCGTAAAAAAGAATCGTAAGAATTGAATCGAATCACAATGCGATCGTTGGTTCAAATAGTCGGGAGACTTGATTTATTGCTTACAATACGATTCGTTCAATTGAATCGTGACCAGCACGGATCCATAAGATTTGAACGATAAGCCATAAAAAAGAATCGTGAGAATTGAATCGGACCACAATGTGATCGTTCGTTTCTACGGCGCGGCGCGGTGTCGGCGGTGACATTGGCGTAGAGTCAGGCACCTCGCAGGCACCAATATTTAAACTTGAACAAAAGCCCTAAACAAACATCATGGGCATAAAATGCAAACCATAAGAAAGTTATTTACAAGAAAAAAACTTATTTATACTGTGCTTAGTACGGGAGTGGGAGTATCTGTTAGGTATTAAATTATCTCGTGAGTATTTTTGTTAAAATAATATTACCGACTATTAAATGTCGGACTAAAAGACGAAATTGTATTTTTATGCAACTCCAAGTAAATATTGTTGGCCTCTGCTCAATATGACAAAAAAACACCGTCAGCTATAGATATAAAATGAAGATCGCCGTCATTTTATATATAAAATTATATGGAAAACGTCATCGATGTTCATTTCCAAGCTAACTGGACGCCATCTTTTTTCAATCATGCGGTTTTTAGTATATTATATACTATTTATTATGATTACTAAATTGGAATTAAAATATGGCTGTAAAAATATTAAATTGGTATTAAAGTCTTTAATAAATAGTATACAGGGTTGTTCACCACATACGACACGGAGTATTGTAGCTAAACGATTAGATTTTTACAAATTGTAAGTTTTGGGTTCGTTGAAGGACCATTAGAGCTACAATTTAAAAATATTTTTACAAGATACTGAGTGTCCCAAATAAATAAAAAATATCAAAGTTGCATTTTTTTAAATGGAACACCCTGTATATTATTGCATTTTTAGTTTCTACGCTTAAAATAAAGGTAAATTTGATAAGGTTTATTACACTTTAACCTTACCGTTTTTGAAATGTTTTCAATTTTGCGAAATTGCAGTATAAATTTTAAGGCTTTTCATTTCTCCGAGGATATCAAAGTTTTTAATACTAAATATTTACTGAAGTTTATTTATTGATCAGTTATTGTGTTGCAATAATAAAAATTATTCTACCTTATACAGAGTGTCTAAATTTTTTTTTAAATAATTACTAGCTTTAAACGGCAATAACTTATTTAATTTAAATAGAACACCCTGTATATTTTATGAGAATCAGGTGCACAATTTAATTGTCTATCAAATTGTATTATACTACTTCTTACCTATTCCTTCAAGTTTTCGTAGAAAATGCATTTTCTTATAATTTAGACCTCATTTATCAATATACCCATGGAATATTGACATTTTAGATTGTTCTTAAAGCAACAAATGTACAAAATGTACAGGCTAGTAATATTATCGTTTTTAGTAAAACGATAATATTATCGTTTTACTAGCCCATTTGTATGCAAAAAAAAAATATTTAAATCTTTATAAAAGACTATACAATTAATTAAATATACCACCAGTATTTCCGCCCAAATACTAATTAACTACATACTTAATTGTGTTCGTTAAAAAATCATTATAAATAAATGTGCATTTGAATCAGAAATCAATATAATAATAAGTTATGAAAATGAACGAATGTTGTTATAAATAAGCATTTGTCAAAAAATTAAATATCATTGTTAAGGTGTTACTTTTTACCACACTGTCTAATACACATACATAATTGAGTTGTTTAGTATTTGTAGCAATTATTACTAATCAACGCAAACAGTCAATTAATGTAGTTTGAATACTGGAATAATATTAATTGGTCCTCTTTAACAAATATTTAAACAGTTTTTTTTTATTTTTTAATGAAATAAACGAACTATATCGACAATATTAGTATCTGTACTCTTTAAAAATTTGGTACATCTTTAAAAATAATCTAAAATGTCAGTATTCCATGGGTATATTGATAAATGAGTTCTAAATTACAAGAAAATGCATTTTCTACAGAAACTTAAAGAGATAGGTAAAAAATGACAAAATACAATTTGATAGACAATTAAACTGTGCATCTGATTCTCATAAAATATACAGGGTGTTACATTTAAATTAAACAAGTTATTGCCGTTTAAAGCTAGTAATTATTTAAAATAAATTTTTAGACACTCTGTATAAGGTAGTAAAGTTTTTATTATTGCAACACAATAACTGATCAATAAATAAACTTCAGTAAATATTTAGTATTAAAAACTTTGATACCGTCGGAAAAATGAAGCTTTAAAATTTATACTGCAATTTCACAAAATTGAAAATATTTTAAAAACGGTAGGGTTTAAGTGTAATAAACCTTAATAAAATTTACCTTTATTTTAATCGTAGAAACTAAAAATGTAATAATATATAGGGGGTTCCATTTAAAAAAATACAACTTTGATATTTTTTATTTATTTGGGACACTCTGTATCTTGTAAAAATATTTTTAAATTGTAGCTCTAATAGTCCTTCAACGAACCCAAAACTTACAATTTGTAAAAATCTAGTCGTTTAGCTACAATACTCCGTGTCGTATGTGGTGAACAACCCTGTATATGAATTGAATTGATAATTTAATATTATTGGTAAAATAATCAATCCAATTACGCCAGTGTCAACGTTGAAAAACAAATGAAAGAACTGTATGTTTCTTTTTCTGGTACCTTAAGTAATTGTCCGACCAAATTATCGCCGGTAGTGCCAGTTACGAACCTTGTTTTTATGAAACGTAAATTGTGCATGTGATTCCTTGAAAAAGACAAATGAACGAATCGTAGGAGTCGATTCAATATGAGAAATTAAATCGTGTGATTCGATTCACTAAAAAGAATCGTAATGCCCATCACTATTGCACACGGTATCACTTTTATAAATTATTTCGTAATATTGCAGATCTATATTATATTAATTTTACCTTTACTCATCTTTTCAAAGAGGTATCCTACTTCTTAGAAATTTTAATCAAACAGCATACCCAACAAAACTTTCATTCACCAAGTTATGTTGTATTTGTTTATGTAAAGAAATTACCGTATGATTGAAATAATAAAACAGAACAAAGACAACCGGGGTACGACAACTGATGATAACTTTGGCGATGTCAATCTCTAGAGGTCATTTATTAAAAATTGACGTAAAACTTGTTCACATTAATTATAGAAAGATTAAAAAAGGATAGAAAGTTTCCAGGCACAAAAATTTATTTCCAAAAAAAAAATTTTATCTCGAATTTTAAACTACACTATTTAAAAATCACTTTTACTCAATATAAAAATAAAATACAAACTTGTTAAGGCCAACTGGCAGAAAACGTCATTAAATAATAAAGTAGGGTGACCAAGCATATGAGGTTTAGGAAATGACCTCGCCAAAACTTATCGATTGTCATTCCCCAGCCATCTTTAACGCCGTTTTTTTTTTGATTCTCTGATCTACTAATTCTATTATTATCTAACTAGTTGTTATAATGGCAAAATTATATTTGCATATTAATAATATACAGGGTCCGGCAATAGTGTGTCGGGCATCTGTAGCTCCTAGAATAAAAAAAATTGTGAATTTTGTTTAAGTGCAAACCTAAAGTATGTTCTAGGATGTATTTCAGGAAAATATTTTAACTTCTATAGGGTGGCTAAAAAAAGTAAGTGGATCAGGATGATTTTTTTTTAATGGCAGTAAATTTTTATCAGAGCCATCTAATAATTTTTCTATCGTATTTTACCGTTGAGAGCGCCATATGAAATAATACTGCGTGTATCTGCGAAACCAATATAGGCTTGGTGCATTTCAGTTGATTTCAGTAAATTCCGACCGCCGCGCTTCAACGGCAAAAAATCAGAAATTATCAATACCTATTTCGCGCCGTCATGTTGATCGCATTAAAGTAATATTGAAATCGTGGTTTTGCCATAATATTTAAGCATTTTAGTTTTTTGCTAGTGCAGTTATTGAGACTATTATACACTCAGGTACGAAGTTTGTGTGATGTAACGCTGTTTCGGGTAGTAAAAAATTAGTGAAAAAGAATTCGAACTAGGCGTCTTGTTGTATTGTGACAATTTCAAATGTTAATAAAATTGCCGAAAAAATGTTAGCGCGTAAAGGAGAGTGTAATTAGGGCGTTATTGGATGCAATAACATTGAATAATTCAACTTTCCCGAAAAAACATTTTATAGCTTCATAGTTTCTTACGCCGCACAGTGCTTCGTCCCATGGACAAAAATCGAAAAAAAAGTTAAAATTTACTAATATCTGAATACGTAATTTTATACTTATAGCAATGTTCAACCATCCTGTATATGATTTTTCATAAACAGCGTTTTTTGTTAGCAAATATTTTCACTAAAAATAAATTTTGCGATCATTATCTTATCAGTGAAAAGAATAACATTCATAGTAGTTCTGTATAGTATGGAGTTAAGCGGTACGTACTTAATTGAAAGCCACTATGGATATTGTTAAACAAAGTATGTACTTTAAATTTATTTCTAAACAAGTTCGTTATTGTTTAGTTTTTATTTATTTTTTAAGATTATTCTTAAATGGGTATAAAAATTTTACGTTTTCAAACTTCAAAAAAGCATTTAAAAAAAACATATCAAAACATATCGTATTTATTGAATATTTTTGTTGTCATATTCATACACTTTTAATTTTTGTATAGTTCACCTGCGTCGGCTTGCGACGTACTTTATTTTATAATACTTTTCAGATGGAGTAAAATTGATAAGCAATGCCGATCTCGTTAATACTTGGCTTGATCATAAGGACAAGAACTCAAAATTATTTGTATTTCAAAAAATGTGTTCTTTATTAGATATGGATGAACCTTCCAGTCAAATGAGACACCACTTGTGCCTGAAAAAAGCCCACTATGTTGGAGCGAAACCTCGCATAAAAAAAAGTTTCCACCTTTCAATTTATTATAAAACCTCATATCCATTTAAAAAAATACAACTTTGATATTTTTTATTTATTTGGGACACTCTGTATCTTGTAAAAATATTTTTAAATTGTAGCTCTAATAGTCCTTCAACGAACCCAAAACTTACAATTTGTAAAAATCTAGTCGTTTAGCTACAATACTCCGTGTCGTATGTGGTGAACAACCCTGTATATGAATTGAATTGATAATTTAATATTATTGGTAAAATAATCAATCCAATTACGCCAGTGTCAACGTTGAAAAACAAATGAAAGAACTGTATGTTTCTTTTTCTGGTACCTTAAGTAATTGTTCGACCAAATTATCGCCGGTAGTGCCAGTTACGAACCTTGTTTTTATGAAACGTAAATTGTGCATGTGATTCGTTAAAAAAGACAAATGAACGAATCGTAGGAGTCGATTCAATATGAGAAATTAAATCGTGTGATTCGATTCACTAAAAAGAATCGTAATGCCCATCACTATTGCACACGGTATCACTTTGGTCGTGACGAAATCGTCTTCCTCGACAAAATACGGCATATTTTCCAACATAGCCCGCTATAGGGAGTTGAATATCCTTCTTCTATATATCCTTGGTTTCCTGCTATGCGTTCCAATTGTACCAACTTATTTCTTTGTAAAATAAAATAAACTACTTTGAAATTAAAATGACAGACACATCTATCACTGTCAAGGATCTTGTCGTTGGACAGACTTACGTGGATGCATAAAAACGATGTCTCCAAAAGCACGACATGCCATTTTCAAACTTTCTTTATTGCTCTTATGAAACGTTCAGTAGATTTGTCTTTCACGAGTAAAAAGTACAAATTGTATATATGTAGTTATGGAAACGAACTATCATTGTCATAATCATTTCCATAGAGAAAGAAAATAAATTTAAATCGGAATGCTTGGCTTCCCGCCAAAACGTATAGTTGTTGTGAATCGAGTACATAGTACGCGATCTGGCGCTGCTATAGCGGTTGCTAGAAACAACCGCAAACAAGAACAGAAAGAATTTTCTTTTGTCAAAGTCAGAATTTTCAAAAATTATAAAAGCGTTCAAAATTTAAACCGCCCCCATTGAAAAAACACCGAAAAGTGTTTAAAGCGTCCATTTGCAAAGTAATTATTGCGATCTTGTGAGTTTTTTTTTTAATTTTATTTACTCAAACCCGTGATAACTGTGAAAACGTGGCATTAAAAAACTTAAAAAGTTGTTCAACATCTTTTTGTTTTCGAAAGAAACCTCATAGACGTATTCCTGGGGTCGAAATATACCACCCCTAAAAATATTTCCATTTATTTAAGACTCACCCTGTAGTCTTTAATATTTACAGGAAAAAAAATTAAAGTACAACTCTGCTTAGAGATACATATGAATTTATTTTCATCAGGCGTAAATGACATCCGAATAGGTTATTATACTGGGTGCGTCTCAGAGTGGCTCACCCCTATAACTGTTTTATTTTGTCAGATAAAAAAAAACGAGATTTGGTATGATAGTATATGACATAGATTAGGATTGATTGACGTATTCAATTGGTTTTTGGTCACTTCCTATTTCACCGGAAATGATTTTTAAATGACACACCCAGTATTTTTTACTTTATTAGGTAGAAAATGACACTAAATAGAAAGACATATCATATGTCAACTTTTGACATTTGCGCTTATGGTTTATTTGAAATTGTAATATGCGGTTCATAACGACAATTTGTCTCGAAATACCAAGTGTGTGATACCAAATTATTCGCTAATGAGCCATATCATTGTCCCCTTCCATGTCACCCCCCTTCCATTTGAAAAAATTGAGATATGATTAAAAATACAATTTGGGCATCTTTTAACCGGCCAGGACAATACACAATAAACAACTAACGATCAAATTTATTTTTCCAAGGCTCCTTAATTAAAAATTAGTGCATTTAACACAGCCTAGGCACTCTAGATTGAAATTTAATTTACGATTTTTTTTAAGTGAAAATGTCAAAAGTTTACATATGATATGTCATTATATTCAGAGTGTTATTTTCTATCAAATGAAATAAAAATATACTGATTTAATTTTACATAAATCTCGTTTATCTAAAAAAATAAAAAAAGTTAAAGGGGTGAGCCGTTTTGAGACGCACCCGGTAGAAGTTCTATTAAAAACTTTACCTGCTTCCTTAGCTGTATTCTTGACCAAACGGCTTGGTTTAAATATTCTGGTATTCTGGTATGTTGCATAAGCATTTCCCATAGTATTAAGAGAATCTTCAGTAGTCTGTGCTGCCGATGGACCATACCTTAAGAACGTATAAGTACATTAACCTAAGGGGCAATAGTAAAATTTGAAAGAATTCTTACTTGTGCTCCACCACCTTAACTGTATTGTCTTTTAAACTTCTCCCTAAAATACCGGCTGATGTTTCCAACCCTCTAAAAGTACAAATATATTTTCATTAATAATAATAAAAAGATCATGCTAAATACAAACCTATAAACTGTTGTAAAACCTTCAACAGCACCAGCAGCCACGGTTAAAATACTTTTCATTTTTTCTGATGCTTCCGTTTCTGACATATGAAAGCCACTTCTCAATAACTTAGTACCCTGCTTCTGTATGTGAGGGGCTAAATAGTGACCCAACTTCATTGTACCCTGCCCTACTTTCTCAGCTACAAATTTAAATTTAAAAAAAAACTTTCACTTATAATAGTGGTAACAATTATTATAATAAATAACTTTCAATATACAGTATGTCCTCAGATTGTCTTTACAAGAAGAAAAACATTTTATTATTGACATTTTAAAGAAAATGTTTGCTTGTTCTAAAGTGGTATTCCCGTTTATACTTTTCCAACTTTCCATACCGTTTTAGAGAAAATTGAGAAAACCATGAAAATATACTTGAATTTTCTTATTGAATTAGACGCATAGAAAAAGGAAATAAATTTAAATTGGAATGCCCATCAATATTTTGGGTAGCGAAATTGTTTTGGGTCACGAGCGTTGTACGCAATCTGGCGCTGCTATACAAAAACAGAAATGTTTACTTGTCAAAAATATATGTACACAAAACAAAAGTATATGTTAAAAAAATGACTTGCGCGGCGCGGAGCGGCGCAGCTGGTGTTAACGCACCTTTTTATAAGAAAATTGGAGTGAAAATCCCAAAAAGAAAACTTGATATAGAACTCTTTCAGAATACTGTGTCACCCTGTAGATTAAATAAAAGAATAAATATCAATAATAAAAGTTAAAATGTCAACATTATGAGAACTACTAATAGATTTTATATAAAATCATAAATATTGCTTTCTCAAGATACCTAATAATTATTAAATTTTATTCAAATTTAACACTTACCAATGAAACCAGTAACTTTCACAGCTTTACTAGTAGCATTTTCAGCTATTTTCACACTTTTCGAAACAGAATGTGGAACTTCGGTACGTCGATTTGAATGAGACATATTATTAATTAATGTGGGTGTACTTTTATTAATTAGTTCTTCTGCTTTATGTGCTCCTTTAATTAATCCCTCTGAAATGTACCAAGCTCCTAAAAACACGTAAAAATAGTACTTAACAATACCACAATTAATAATACCGTATGATCGAGAAAAAACGGCGTCAACGATGGCTATGAAATGAAGATCGCTGTCATTTTATATGTAAATTTATATGGGAAATGTCATCAATCGTCATTTCATAGCCATCGCTGACGCCGTTTTTATTCGATCATACGGTACTTATTATTAGTATTATCTTTATTACAATTTTCATTTACCATTAACAAGTTTGTTGGAAATTTTAGCACTAGTATCTTCTGTTTCTTCTAATCGTCTTCTTTTTTCATTATATATTTCTTGTTCTGTTTCTTGAGTAATAATGCCATGAAGAATGCTTTCTAGAAGATCAAAAACATCAGCATCAGCATCTGATGGGAGAATAATACCTACAGAAGAACCTAAAAAAAACATTTTGACTATAGTTAAATAAGATGTCAATACCGCGAAAAAATTACCTGGAACATCTGAGTATACATCAGGTAATATAAATGCCCCATAATCAGTTCTGTAACAAGGCGATACTCCTGGAATTAATGGGTATATCCAATCTCCTATTTGTAATATAGCTTTTGGTGCATTTACCTCTGAACCTAGAGAATGAACTACTTAAACCTAATATTTTTAGAGCAATTTACCTATATAATATATCCAACCTTCTACTAATGATATTTTTAAAAGTTGGGGTTCACGAGTTGACACTACTTCTCCATTGGGAGATATAAAATACAGCCTAACTCCTGGATGCATGTACACTATTTCTTCATTTAAATGCTGATTTGGATCTATACTAAGCTCTTCAAGTGCAGTGGCCAGATCTTTATAAGTTATATGGTGAGTATCCACCAGAGAATCATCTACAACATCTTTCAGAAATAACATGTTAATAAAGTTATTTTATATTACCACTGGTAGAGCTCATGGCTTCTTCATAAGATGGTGGTTGATCTAGAGGTAAAGATGTAAAGCCCGGCGAAGACTGAATACAATTGATCCTTGTAAGAACTTCGGCTCTAGTTCTCTTAATTTTTTGTATCATTTCGCATGCATTATTCCATTTTTCATCAGGATGTTCTGGACACTCAACTGGGATATGTAAAATTTCATCAATCAGATGAATACCTTGCTTATATTTTTCTATAGCCTGTTAAATAAACAAAAATATCCTTAACCCTTAACAGGCGTGGTCGGAAATTTTAGCACTCCATGCGTTGCAAAGTCCCTGGGACTCCAAAATATACAGGTGCTCTATATTAGTGTTATCATAACATAATTTATTTTTTTCGTTATATATATATCGTTAAACACTTACAAAAAAATATATTTTTATTTTTACAACCATATTACTTGCAATATAAAGTAAAAAAAAACAAACAAACCAAAAGTAATACAGTTTGTACAAAATGAACATCATGCTACTTTTCATCATATTTTAGAAAAAGAAAAATATAAACAAAAAAATTACTCATAGAAAAACGTGGTGAGAACTACAAAAAACCCCTAATGTAAAATTGCAAAAAATTGACAAGTGTTTAAAAACAAATAAAGTATAGCTTTTATTTAGGAATCTTCGGTATTGTTTATGCATTGAACACACACTTTTCTTGAACATTTGATTGAACAGAAATATTTTTAGTCGGTTCAGTTGCGTCACTGTCCTCTAAAGTTTCAGTAACCTCTATCTCATCTTGATTATCATATTCATTGGCACACATCTCACTCGCCATGTCGTGATCACTTCTGATAAGATTTTCTGTTGTAACATGGCCCTCAGGTTCTCCATCTTGGCCAGAAAACTCTTCCTCACTTTCAACAAACCTTCTTAACATAGTTTCTTCAAAGTTGGGATCTGTGGCTTTAACCACCTTTAATTTCTTAGACATAGTCACTAAATTGATATCATGATACTAACGGCGTCGTGGAGTCCCACGGACTCTAAGGTGTTAATTAGACGCACTTGCCGTAATAACAGATCGAAGTCGACTCAACATCCGATGGGTACCACCACCATAGGAAGCTACTAGACGACGCGCGTCGCTTGGTCGACAAATACGAAAGTTATTAAAAAATTTATTTTTACTAGAGTCCCAGGGACTCCGCAACGCCGGTTAAGGGTTAATATAATAGGTAAACAGATAATCAAGACTTACTTCATAAGGTTTTTCCTGTTCTTCAAAACTTATGGCTTCTTCGATGACTTTAAACGCATGATCATGCTTGTTTTTAATAGTCAAATATGTGGTCTGCCAGGTAACTGAACTCCCATTACCCATATTATCAAAAGTTTGAAAGGACATCCAAATTATTCCAAATCACAATGTCTTATCAAAATAACAATTTCTGTGATAATTATTCTTTTAAAATTGTACTTTGACTTCGAACCCTCGAGAATGAAATAACGTAATCTGAAACTGGAAAAACTTGTTTATTCTCTCCCAAAGTTCTTCAATGTCATCAGAGATGTCATCAGAAATATTTATAAGTATTGATTTAAAAATAATAAAACGCCACCAACGTTAATAACATTGACAATAAAATAAAACTGACTTGATAACAAAGACCCTGAATAATTTATGAATAAAATTATTAGAAATTGATTACAATATCCATTCAAATTAAAATAATCCAGAAAATACAAAAAACCTTGATAAATAATAACAAATGACAAACGATGACAAATGTTAAAGACAAAAATGACATTTTGCCACAGATAATCAAACCGAACGAAAGTCAGCCAAAGATAAAATTTAAAAGGCTTCGTATATGAACTTTAAACTTTTTTGTACCTATATATTTATATATGATCAAGGGATGGGTTTGTTACAGAGATATTAGTCTATAACTCTGGTTTGTGACCGATCTTTTGTATACTTATTAGACATTGTTGCCATATTCCATTTCCTGTTATCTCAAAGTTATGGAGGGCTTTAGGATTTACTCAAAGTCCATAGAGAAGAGATATGCAAGAGATATACTATAACTCAAAGTCACACATCACAGTAGACATTTCTGGCTCTGGTTATTTTAGAAAACTTTTTTTGTTACAGCTATCACTGTTTTAACTAGGTTTAAACCTGCTCTGGTTTTATGGTTTTAACGGTTTTAACATACAATCCGTATCTACAGTATGTTCGAAAAAAAAACGGCGTCCAGTTGGCTTGGAAATGACGATCGATGATATTCCCCACACAATTTTATCAGAGAAATTTTACATATAAAATGACAGCGATCTTCATAGCCATCGCTTTTTCGATCATATTGTATATGAATATGCAATGATTACAGATTCACTCTTATTTGCTCCTACAAAATTATTTTTCTAAGAGATTCTTTTTTTAATGTCTGTGTATATTAAAATAAATATGATCTCACTGCTTATTTAACCGGCGTGAATATGTAATTATATACCGTATTATCGAATAAAAAAACGACGTCAAAGACAAATGGGGAATGACAATATTGGCGGAGTCAACTACACCATTAAAAAATCATTTAAACTCAGCAAAAATAAATTACAACTGTTTACCTCTTAAGGCCAACTGACAGAAAGCGCCACTAAGAGTATGGGACAAGTAATGACGTCTAGGGTTTGACCTCTGCAAAATTACCATCGATTGACATTCTCGAGCCGTGTTAGACGCCGTTTTTTTTTTCGATCATATGGTATATAGTTTATTGTAAAATATGAAATAAGGACAAATATTCTATTTTATTTATAGACCATTTATTGCATCTGAAAACAGTTAATCCACATAACATGTAAGTTTTGTTAAGCTACAATATAGTTATTTTATCAGTTTGATATGAAAAATATCATTCTTTCCTGTTATTAATTAAATTATATAATATCTCGAGACATTTACTTTTCTAATCTACTAAGCAGGTGATAAAAATTATGGTCACTTCGTAGTAAGTAGTAAACTTAATAAAAAAGCATTTAAATATAAAATAGATATGAAAAAAGATACACATTTTTATACATTTTTTTTCTAAATAAAAAATACGAAAAAGTATTGATATATCCATGGGAGATGGATTTTATAAAGATTTTTATGTATAGATTGCAAAAAATACAGAATATTCTAGACATTTGATTTAAATTTCTCGCTACCCATGATACTTCAATGTGTATAAAAAATATTCAAAAATACAACGTAATATTTACAGTAGATGTAATATTTGATAGTATTTTTAACAATAACGCTTAAATAAGCAAATCAAAATTGTAAAAAGTAATGATATAATAATTCTAACAATGATCAATAATTGCAATTTATACAAAGTCTAGATTAATCTGTTTTTGTAATCATTTTGAACTTAGATCATAATAAAGAAACAATCTCATCCTTTTTAGCGTCTGTCACGAGAATCGCTTCTTCGATCACGTGAATCAGATCGGCGAGATCTTGATCGAGATCTCGAGCGTCTTGGCGATCTTGACCTAAAAAATGGAAAGTTTTAATACAATGGTACTAAAAATATACTTAAAAATATATTAAAAACAGCGTGTCCATGAATCAAGTTATTTAAGGGAAAATATTTTTTGTATTGTCGATTTTTGGATGAAGATATTTTTATACAGGGTGTTTCAAAAATGCGCCACCTCTCGTAGGAAGATTCCTTATGTAAAATTAAGATTTATTTTTTATGTCAATATAGGTCTGATTCTGCTTTATTGTTTCGTAGCTACAAGGGGACTGTAACTTAATTTTTTATTTTAATTAAGACTGTAACTTAATTTTTTCAATTTATTATAATTTTCTTCCAAGAGCCATTAGCGATTCGAATGAAATTTTGAGGGTAAAAGTTACTATATGTACGTGTGACATATTTTAATACTAAAAAAATGTCGACATAATCACCAGGGACGTGCATATAGGTTATCACTGGAATATTTTTCTAAAAAAAAATTGCGGCACTGACTTTTTTCTCTTTTTAACAAAATTGTCTCGGTCAATGCAATTTTATTAATTTGCCTAATTAATAAAACCTATTTGCAATTAATAAAAATTACCTAATTTTATTAATAGTAACCTTTAAAAAAAATTAATGCTATTAACCAGCTGAAGTATTAAATAAGTAAGCATTGATTTTTCATCATAAAATAAAATAAGTTCCATAAACATAGGTGCGGAAATGCATAGTTTTAAAGTTACAGTTAAATTTAAAAATAAAGGTACATTCAGGCTGAGAGCGTCGAGCGTCGCGTCTGCATCGCGTCCGCGTGTCGAAATGGAATCAATTGACTTAACTTAAATTAGACCGTTCAGGCAGACAGTGTCGCGTTTGGCGTCGCGCTAGCGTCCGCTGAGCGTCGGGGTTCGAGTTCAATGGGGTGGACGCGACGCAAATACGACGCGACGCTCGACGCTCTCAGCCTGAATGTACCTTAAACGAAATGCAATAAATAATTTAACCGGCATTAAACGGCCTATACAATTTTGCTAACAAAAGAAAAAAATCAGCAGCGCACATGTTTTCTTAGAAAAATATTCCAGTGATAACCCATATGCACGTCCCTGGTGAACTTTTACCTGCAAAATTTTTCATTTGAATCACTTAAAGCACTGGGAAGAAAATATAGTAAATAAAAAAAATTAAGAAAATTAAGACTAACACCCTGTAGCCAAGACACAAAGCAGAATCAGACCTAAATTGATATAAAAAGTAAATCTTATTTTTACATAAAATGGCACATGTTCTTTCAAACATCCTATATATTTACTCTGAAGCATGTATTTATAATCTAATAAAAACAGTTTCTTAACATTATTACAAAAGCGAAAATTTGAAAGAAGCAAATAATTTTATAAAGAAAATCATCAGGGCCACTGATTACTAAATTTAAAGAGAAGAAAAAACAGAACAGTTCGTGACAGCATATAGTAGAACCAAATCTACTCTCATCTGAAATTATATTGACAATTAATTTATTAAAATATAAATTTTATGTCAATACATTTATTATAATTTGAATAGGTATATTAGAATAAAAAACAACATTACAAGCAAATAATTCTGTGTAAATTACTTTATGTCAAAAAGATAACAATAAGATTAATTTAAAGTAATTATTCTCTATAAAACCTATCAAAACAATCAACAGTAAAAGTATTTTTATTGAACCTGTCAACTTTATCTATGGACACACTGTATGTTTTAGAATAATTGCACATATATTTTTAAAAAAATCAATATATCTGACAAACTGTACTTGAATATTAGTTTGCATTCTAAATTTCTGAGTATTGCTTTTCAACATGAATGGTTTCAACATAAAAGTCATATTAGCAAAATAATTATCTTAATATTATCATTAGATGTGTGCTTAATTTTTTAATTATATTATACTTGAGTGAATCAATTAAAGTGAAAACCTCTGCTTCACAGTTTTTATACAGCGTCTCAAAAATAGAGTATATCTAACTTTAGTGGGTGATTCTACAGATAAAAATAAAACAAAAAGTTCCTATGAACATGTACCCTAAATGCTTCATGAAGAAATTGTAGCAGTCAAAAAGGTAAATAAAAATAATATATTTTGTTTATTTTTAAAGACAATGGTAAACCGTTTTTCTTGATATTTGGTACTTTTACACCAGGGTTGACATGATTTAAATCAAGTGATTTTTTTAAATTTTAATCGTGATTTAAATAAAAAAAAATTGTTTTATTGAAACTTTATAATAAATCAAAAAATAACAGTAAAAGTTGTAAAAATGTTCCTAGAAAACTATAAAAAATATTTCTATATCAGATATAACAGATAATAAATCGAAAAATAATTGTAAATGTTATAAAACTATATAAAAATATCTAGTCATCAATTTAAATGTTGGACTTAGATTTTTGAAGTAATTTCGTGTGAATCCATTAGACCGCTAAACGCAGGGATTTATTTTGAGTTACAAAAATTTGCTGTTCGAATACTTATCATTTGCAAAGTCTAGTGCAGAACCAGGTTCTTCTAATATAGAGACTATATCTTCATTCCCGCGAATCTAGAATCGTTGTCAGAAAATATGTTTTTTTTTGAAACGGTTGTATGTATGTTTCCAAATTCCTACCGAAATTTTGATCTGCACCAAGTACTTTACACTTTGGCATTAGATAATACATCATTCTCGACTTAAGACTATTTCCGAACAATAGTGTATTGTTTTATTAGGAGTAAAAAATATACTTTTTTTGACGATGCTGTACCTTTGAAGGACCATCTAAGCCTTTGAAGGATAGATGGTCCTTCCGACTAGAGTGAGGCACGAAAAGTACATCTTTACTCTGAATAGAACATTCGAGCAACAATTGTTTGTAGTCTCGTTGAATTTGACTTAATATCAGTTTAATAATATATTTTTGTACTGTTGTGCTTATGCGTAACAGTCCTTTACTTTTATGCCTAGGCGTTAAGCTTGATTTTCATGCATCCGTTATACGTTGATACGATGGTCCGCCTATGCTCTGATTGGTCATAGCGTTTTCGCGCCACTTTTCATCCGTAAATATTTTACTTCAGCCCGTCAACGGACCCGTTCATACGATAACGGACGTTTTGACACTTTTTTGACAAATTTAATCTAACCTTAATAAAAATATAAGTAAAATAGCAAAATAGTTATGGAAACGAAAATATGAAATAACATCAACGTATATCCGATAAACGGAGGCATGAAAATGCAATAATTTAAAAACTGCGTTATTTTCTAACCAATCAAAGTCTTTAAATTCTGCCAATAAAATTAATATTGTATCAACGCATAGATAAATGAAACAAGTTTAGATTGGAAAGTGCCCATAAGGACAATGTAAACACTATTTGGCGCTATTCTTGCAACGGTCGCGATCCAAAACTTTTGAAAATTTCGGAGCGGTTCGGCTTTTTCCGGAATTATATCGCCCAAATATTGTTTATTAAAATTTATTATTATTTTCGTTAAATTTAAAAAATAAAGTACAGTGTGTTGCATACAAGAAACTTTATTTTATATAAGGACGCATGTATGAAATAACTATGAAACATTAGAAACCGAAGTTATGCCACGATCCACGATGGTTTTTGCAGTTCACAGTTCACAGCACAGCTTTTTAAGTTTTTAATGTCACTTTTTCACAATTATCACCGGTTGGAGTAAATAAAACTTGAATTAAACTCCCAAGATAGCAATAATTACTTTGAAAATGGACGCTATAAACAATTTTCGGAATTTGTTTAATGAGAGCGGTTTAGATTTTGAAAGATTATTATGATTTTTGAAGATTGTGACTTTGACAAGAGAAAATTATTTCTGTTTTTGTTTGCCGTTGTTCTTAGCGACCGCTATAGCAGCGCCAGATCGCGTATAACGGTCGCGACCCAAAATAATTTCGCGACCCTAAATTTTTACGGGGTTTCCAATCTAAACTTGTTGCATTTATCTATGTATCAACGTATCGTCGGACAACGGATGCACGAAAATCAAGCTTTATAAGGACAAAAATTAATACTTTTGAGACGTTTGAAAAAAATCCTTTTGATCTGAAGCGAGCGACTTTTTTGCGGAATATACATATATTGGTGACCGATGACGAAAAATGACACGGCGCCGTAGAATTGTTAATGTTATCGCCGTTATCGGTATCGGGCAGAGTTATAAAGATTTAGCCATTTAGGATAGGACTTTAATTGGAAATAAGTCCTAGTGATTTGGAAATCCGACTTAAATATTGTTTCAAATTAAAATAAAAAAAATCTGATTTAAATCAAAAAGTTCTGATTTTTTAAAAAAATCATGATTTTTTCCAACCTTGTTTTACACACATTTTATTGCCAAAGTGTGATAGTGTAAAGTTCTGGAAGAGCCCTGAAAAAGTACTGTCCATTAGGGTAGAGTACTACTGGTCGTAGTTTTTATCCTACAGATACAGTAATTTCAACAGATGACATAAAAAGCTAAGACTTTTTTACGCAAAAAGGTGCTCTTCATTTAGTTCGATACTGCGAACGATTTTCAAGATATTTACTTTTTGCGTTGAAAGGTTAGGTTAGGATGCATCGATTTTAGTATTAGCGAAATGATGAAATTTAAAGAAATTATAAATAAATTAATCTCATGATTTCGCCAATACTAAAATCGACTTATCGTAACCTTTAAGGGCCAATATCTTGAAAACCATTCACTGTATTGAAATTCAAATTCAATTCAATAAATAATTTATTTTTATTTTATTAATTATTGTGATTCATAAAATTGCGTTTATCTTATCAAGGAGGAGATTGAAATCGACAAAATATCAGCATATAACTTTTAACTGGCATTAAACGGCCTATACAATTTTGCTAACAAAAGAAAAAAATCAGTAGCGCACATTTTTTGTAGAAAAATATTCCAGTGAAACCCATAAAACGCCTTCTGGTGATCTTTTGCGCCGTCTGGCGATGCGGAAGAAACTAAATTTGTAGTCCCATAAAATTACTATGAGTGTCTAGGGCCTGACGACACCATAAGGATAAAAAAATTATGACCAGTACTAGGGCTGTAACGAGCCTTGTTTTTTAACTTGACCGAGTACCGAGTACTCGGCTAAAGCTAATGCTTGAGTACCTAGTACTCGGCTGCCGAGTAGTGGAATTGACGGGTTTTTAATAGTCTTAACAATTATGCGAACTTTATCAATATATATTAATTATACTATACACCATAACATAATATTATATTTTATACATAATATAAATATAAATAAACAAAAGATGTTATCGTGGATACTGTCATAAAAAGAAGAAAGAATTTATTGGGCAAGTCTACAGTAAGATTAGTCATGAGACATGACTAAAACATGACTACCCGTAGACACTCAGTGTTTCTGCCTTCCGGCTTCGTCAATACGGGAGGAATCAGCAACGATGAACTAGCGATCCTGAAAAAAAGAGAAGGGAAGCAAACGACCGGTTTTTCGGTGGTAACGCTTCAAATTGTAAGCTTCTGCCTAACCAGGCTGCAAATGGCGCCTTGTGCCTCGTTTGCTTCCCTTCTCTTTTTTTCAGGATCGCTAGTTCATCGTTGCTGATTCCTCCCGTATTGATGAAGCCGGAAGGCAGAAACACTGAGTGTCTACGGGTAGTCATGTTTTAGTCATGTCTCATGACTAATCTTACTGTAGACTTGCCCAATAAATTCTTTCTTCTAAATATAAATATATAATTTAACATTAAAGAAAGCTAGTTAAAATTCCCGGAATTTACCAATGATCTTGTTTGTTTTGCCTATGATTGGCGAGCGGCTGGGATTCCCCGACTACAAACCACTGACCTGGTTTGTTTTACTTATGGAGATACTGTTTTATTCTGTGGTTTCTCATGCAAACTGATATTTCTAATGTGCTGGATTCTGAATTGATTATTTTAAGGTGCGGTGGCGACGTTGATTTTGTTTTAAGCAAATCTTATATGTGTAACTAATTTAAAAGTGAAAAATAATTCAAACAATTAATAAACCCCTTTAAAGTTATATTAAAAAGAGTGACAGTGCTGACCTCTTTTAGATTATAAGTATTAAATTATTATTTCACTGTGTTTGTGTTATTACTTATACTTATTATTATTACTTTGCCAAAATACATTAATTAAAGTTATGAATGAATAAATTTTTGTTTATTTTATTATTTGCCACTGTGAGTCTCATTTCTATCTGTTTTGGACATGCATAAATGGATCGTTTCTATTACTATACTTTACTCGGCCTACTCGGCCGAGTAAGGCCGAGCACCGAGTACATATTACTCAGTTAAAATTCTGGCCGAGTACCTAACTACTAGGTACTCGGTGCAGCCCTAACCAGTACCTAGTACCACAGATTAGATATCCTATAAGTATACAGATAAAAATTTTGTCCCTAATTCGTGGTAGGAAATTTGTTTTTTATGACGATGTGCAAACGAGTAAATTTTCTTGTGCGCAAAAATAAACTCCCGTTTAAACAGTGTAATAACTGGACCGGTCAGGCGCTGTGCACAATTTTAGAGGCCATAAGTGGGTGTACTTGTGCGCAAACTAGTAACCTAACTAGTGCGCGACTCCGAAAATTGGCACCATGAAAAACAATGCTTTTGACGATAAGTTTATAATCTGTGCTAGTACTTTCTACCCCAATGGGTAAAGAGTACCCTTTCAGGGCTGTTACGAAATTTTACACTACTGCAATTCACTTTGGCATTAAAGTGTGCTTAAGAGTACCAAATTTCAAGAAAAACGGTTTACCACTGTTCTTAATAACGAACAAAATATATTATTTTTATTTACCCTTTCGGGTGCTATAACTTCCTCTGATGCATTTTAGGGCATAAATTCATAGGAACTTTTTGATTTATTTCTATCTGTAGAATGACCCACCAAAATTAGGTGCACTATTTTTTTGACACACACCCCGTATAATATAAATAAGAAATTTGATTTACTTCTATAACTGATTTAATTATATAACACAATTAAAACATCAATTATATAGCTAAATAAGTAATCTAAATAAATTATTAATAAATTAATTTAATCAATCTGCTGAACTATAACAAGATTTTTCACTTATAATGTACATCACCTGAGCTAGTGTAAAATAAAGAAAGCACTACTCAATTTAATTCGACTTTTAATAATTGTTAATAGATTAAACATTTATTTTTAAAATAAATAGCCCACCACTTTAACTTGTTGTTGAGTAGAAAGCAGATAATTAAAGCTGAAATTTCATTGGTTGATTGTGTGTAACAATTCGGTGGTGCCCTGTTGCCAGACGTAGCGGCAGATTCCAAGTCGGTCAGCTTTTAAAGTAGTAGGGTGCAGGCAGCGTTGCCGAATTTGGGAGAGTAGTGGTCGTTGTGCAGCTTTGTCGAATTGATGCAAAAGGACAATGTTGCCACATTAATTTTTGTAAAAGAACCCGATGAGGCCCGGCGGTTGTTGCTGAACTGATGATGGGTTGCGACGTTTAATTTTGGTTTTTGGGCGTTTTGGCGGCGCGGGCGATGTTTTTTTGAGATGTTGAGTGTTGTCAGAGAAGGCCTTGGGGACAGAGGGGTGATGTGTTGTCTCAGGGGGGGATGAGATGGTGGTAGAACAGCGCCAGCGCTGGCGACACCCTGTAACGCCCACAAACCACTTTACACTGTATCTCTTTTCTTAACTACTAAATATTTATCATTTCATAAGTTACCCTTGATACATAAAATGTACTGTAGAACACTATCTATTTTAATAAATTTAATAGATAATAAACTTAGAATTATGCTTATAAAATTTAAGGAATATACAGTCTGGCCCAAAAACTTTGCAACAAATGGATAAAAAATATTAGGAGTTTTAAAAAAGGCGCTACAACAAAATATTATGTTGGTATATGTTGTCATGCTGCATACAGTGCTGTCATAGTAGCAAATTATAAAAATCTTTACATATATGTAAAAAGTTAGATTAGGTAGCAAAATATCCAAAAAAATAACAGAACAGCTGTTTAGAAATTGAGTTTATATCTACATATGTACCAATTTTCATAAATATACAGGGAAATTTATAATTATTCAGCTTCACAAAAAGTTCAATCAAAAATGTCATGAAATTGTTCAGAATCAGTCTCTCAATTACAAAAATTATCAATTGTTGGTCTATTTTTTCGAGAATATTAAAAAAATCATATTTTTTGGCCCATAAATTACATAAAATTGACAAAAACCAAATTCAATAATTTTTGTTCAATCAAAAATGTCATGAAATTGTTCAGAATCAGTCTGTTAATTACAAAAATTATCAATTGCTGGTCTATTTTTGCGAGAATATTAAAAAAATCATATTTTTTGGCCCATAAATTACATAAAATTGACAAAAACCAAATTCAATAATTTTTCTCTATTTGAAATTGTAAAAAAATATAATGTTTAGTTTTCAGGATATCATACTTCTTACAATATCTTAAGAATTAATACCGTATAATCGAAAAAAAAATGGTGTCAGCGATGGCCATGAAATGACGATCGATGACATTTCCCATATAATTTTACATATAAAATGACAGCAATCTTCATCTCATAGCCATCGCTGACGCCGTTTTAATTCGATCATATGGTACATTACAATCTACTGTTGCTAAATCTGTTTTTAGTGTACACAAACAAGGGTAGAGATTGTTTAATTTGTCATCAAGAAAGTTAACATAATGTACATAAGCTTTTTTGTTGTTGGATAAATTGAATTATTCCAGCATAAGAGCTTTTTTTTCTATAACTCAATATTAAACATTTGTTGCAAACTTTTTGACACACATTGTATAGAATGTTACAAAAAAGTTTTACGACCAAGCATATGCTTCCATATAAATAATACTTCATGCTTCATATGATGACAAATACACAAAAAAATATACTGTTACTGTCAAAATATACTTGATTATAAAACTTTTTGGTTGGGTTGGTATTACTAACAAATTCGAATAATAAGTAGTAGTAGTTCATAATGTAATTACAAAGATAACTCATGAAACAATACAATAAGTAAAAGCGTTTAGAAGAAACTGCATCTAATAAACAAGTTTGAAAATATTTTACCTGTCTCTTGACCTTGAAGAATATCTGCCCCTTCTGTTTCCACCACCGCGTCTAGATCTGCCACTTGACATTTCAACTTTAATTCTTGCACCACAGCAGCGACTAAAATAATAAAAACCAAAAAGTATGAATAATACAATTGAAATAAGTACCCAAACTTGGTATTGTTAATTGCAAGCTAAATATATAGACAAATATGTAAAAGGATATAAACTTACGTTCCATCTAAACCTCTAACAGCATCCTCAGCATCTCTAGAGTCTTCAAATTCAACAAATGCAAAGCCAGGAGGATTTCTTGCAACCCACACATTTCTCAGAGGTCCATATTTGCTAAATGCACTCTCAATTTCATGTTTGCTTGCTGACGATCCCAAATTTCCCACATACACTTTGCAGGTAATATCCCATTCCCGATAACGAGACATTGTTGGCTGATTTCGGTAAACTAAAACAAAGAAAAAAATATAAAAATAAGTTGCTTATAAAGTTTTGTATGTGATAGGTCACTATCGTTACACAGTAAAATTTCGTATACTTAATTCCGCTACTGAAACAGATATTTACTGTCGTAATTAAAGATATCGGATTTCGACTACGCCATTTTAGAGTAGGCTATTTAAAATGCATTCATTCAAGTGTTTCTTTACAGTATGAAATAATTTACTTACCGTTTATAAAACAAAAGTACGTTGGAGTAGAAAATATACCAATTGTTAATGGCAATGGAAAAAAAAATTATGTAAAATGATTTTAATGAATTAAAAATAATTCACTTTTCACTTTCAACTTTCAACACAAATATGGCCGAACGCCGATCGCCGATTCTAGCAATGCGCAACGATAGCGCAACGAAACGAAAAACAGCAAGCGGCGCAAGTTTATTTGGGTGTTTGTGGTAGCGTTGGGCCATGATTATCGATATTTTAAAAACATCGATGTTTTGATGTTAAACGGTCGGTTTTAAAGTCTCTATGCCTCTATGTTACCAAATTTTAATTTTAAAACAATAACAAAAAATGGATAAATATAGAAGAAATTATATCACTAAAATTAAATAAGATCTTTGTTGAAAAATAAAAACCTTAAAGATTTCCTTGCTATAATCATTTTTCTTCACATAATATTGTACCTAGGGTGCGGACCAGGTGCGAACCAAAGGTACGGACCATAGAATAAGTAACAAAAGATATCTACCTTCATTTTGATTCTATTGGGAGGCGCATAATTTAAAAATAAAACAATATAATTTTCTTAACGGCGAACAAAACATCTTTCGATAATGTTAATAATTAACGATTTGCTTAAAAAGTCACAATAAAATCTTAAACTTATTTTTTTAAATGGGCAAGTTATTATTTTACATTATTTGTCATTAAAATCTAACTCACCTAAAATATCACAGTGACTGATGCTGAAATGTAATAAAAAATATAAAAATGAATTACAATTTATTTTTAATCATTATTTGTTAAATATTATATGCCAGTATACGTATATAGGGAAAAATAAAACTAATATACAAGTCTCTTATACGACGCGGAGGCTCCAAGAAGAATGGTTGTTTATATCGAAATAAAATTTTGGGAACATATTATGTAAGTTAATTGAAAGCATTTTATAAAAATATATAGAATTCTACAGGGTGTCCCCAAAAAAAGTTATTATATTATATATTCACAATAATAATATGCATAATATAATCGTAGTTATTATAAATAAATCAACTTCTACAAACTACTTTCTAGTGCTCTACATGTTCGAAAGGATTATTACCACCCTCCTTATTGCACAAATTTATTTTTTGTTCAATTTTATTTATAGCTCTTTGGACTTTCTTCTTATACTTCCGAATGCATTTTGTACTCTTTATTGTAAATGTTGAGATGCATTGATTGTATTTTTACAAATGACGTCAAGTAATGTACCCCCACCCCGCTTCCCATACAGCCACGGTACGTACTATGTACGTATCTGATACGTAATGTTGGGACGAACGTCAGGTCCCTGGTACGTACAAGTACGTACAGGGACGTACATTTTTCAACGCTATGTACGTCCCCGGTACGTCCCTGGGATGTGGTAAAGTATGTACTATGTACGTCACATGTACGTATATTCCAGGTACGTACATTTTATGTTTTGTTCCGGACCAAAACTGGATGTAAAATGATCGAAAGTACGTACAATGTACGTACTATGGACATACAATGTACGTACTATGGACGTACATTTTTCAACGACGTATACGACCTAGGAATTTAATTAGAAATCATTCAATGGAAGTCAGCTTAAAATATTTATTAATATAAAATCTCAGGTAGAGGGTCATCTCTTATGTCTTGATACACCCGTGAGTCTGGCTTTGGTCCGGCAACTACACCCTTAGCGCACTCTGTCTTTTATTGGATGTTGATAGATATTTTATTTTTTATTCCCGAACTGCTTCTAACTAAAAAATACAAAAAGAAAACTAACTATTCAAATATCTAATTCTTGCCTCTGTTTTGAAAAAATTGAATGAGCCGATTCTCAATCATTTGAGGTTGTGACTGTGCTAGGTGAAATAGTCACATTATATTATTACACTTTAACTTACCTTGAAACAAAGAGCAATGAAGGCAACGACAAAAGAAAACAAAGCGGAAGCCAAACAACCTACGGCCACCATGACACATGACACCCACTCACACAACACAATCGAAAACTGGATCGGAGTAGGTGCGCACTCAGTGTATTGTTGTTTTTATTTTTTACGTTGATTAATAAAATATGAAACTACACTGAGTGCGCACGTACGCTCTAGCTCTGCCAATCAAAAACGCCATTAGAAACCGCGCCCGACTTCCGATTCCGACAAGACTCGAATGTGAACGAATAACTTAGCGGGAAATTTAAACATAGGACTGCATAATATTCCTGTTAGGCTTGATTGCATAATATATTGCATTTTTAACCCATCAGATTTCTTCATAGGTTGTCATGCATTATGGTCACTGGATAATTTAGGAAATCATTTTTTTATAGCGGTCAAGCTGATTTATTTTTAATAAAAAGAAGTAGAGGTAGGTTAGAGTGACTTGAATTAACGTTAGCCTAGAAAAAATCCACTGATCCAGTCCATTCATTATTATTAGGTATATCTGACCAAAATAATCCAGTCATGATATTAAAATTAAATAACATTTTGTAATGCGTTTTCAAAAATTTTTCAAGATACGTACGTAGTACGTACTCGCATGTAAGTCCGTAGTGAAGTCCTACAATGTACGTAAATAGTACGTACATGGGGCACGTACTATGTACGTACACTTTTGTACGTACATAGTACGTCCCTAATTGGTCCCGGGACGTACCGACGTAAAATGGACATAAAATGTACCTACGTCCCTGGGACGAAGTGTGCTGTATGGGTTCTTGGCGACAGGTCCAGGCTGAGGGTCCAGGAACCTCGCTGGCCATTATACTGCTCTACCATTTACAATCCATCTTCCGAGGAAATGACATACAATACATTTATATTATTTTTTTATATTATTTTATAATTTGCCGGCATTTGATTTCCGTATTCAATGTTTACACCACGTCATTGTTAAGCTTGAAAATATTATCAATATTGTAACGATTAATTACTAAATATTAAAAAAAATAGAGCCAGACTTGAAACTAAATAAATGGTGCTTTAAAATGTCCGAAACAAAAAAATGTGGTATATCACGTACTCAGGAGACCGAGTTCTTTCAAACCTGAAATAAAAATGCAGGTCCGTATTTAAAAAAAATAAATTGGCCTCCGTATTTTACAAATTATCAGCTAATTTGAAAATCTTAAAATACTATCAGATAGTCCTAATAAAGTGGCTATGAGAATGTGCAATTATTAGTTTTTGATTTTCAAAAAGAAACGACAGAAAAAATAAAAATTGATTTTCAAAAATCAGTTTTTTTTTTTTAAACTCAGCATGCCTTAAATTTTAAAACTTTTTAATGGCATTCCTGGTTAACATCCCAAAGCGCAACTTTGCCCTGCACCAACCATGTTCGAATTTATTACGGTTACCGAGATACCAATTATATGCTCGTATCCCGAATTTGTAGCACCCCTGTATATAGCAAAGTAAGTACAGACCATCTAAAGTGAATATCTAATATAGTTTTGATTTTTAGGACAAAGTTTCCTTGTATTTGTCATACTTTTAAAAGCGTCTTAAAAGAATAATTTTATTGCTTTATTAATCTCTGAAACTATAAAAATTTATTTCCGCATATTTAGATTATATGGAGTGACCTTCTGAAAGGCAGCCGCAAATGCAATACTACAACGGGCCGGTTCTTGCTTAAAAAAACATCCTGCTTCCACTCACACTTTTGAGCCACCCTGTAGAAGTCAAACTATTTTCACAAGAATAGATATCAACCAGGAAGAGCAATGCAACTGAACGGCGCCACTGA